TTCTTCACACACTGAATTTAGTCAAGGGAATTATAACCCTTTCTGACATCTGTGGATCTACCCCTTCTGACAGAAAATATCTCAAGTCCAGAGCAGACAACACCTGTAGGCTGTCTGCTAGATTGTCAGGTTAAGGATGGTATTCCTTCCAAAGCTTCCCTCATACCTTCAGCCAGGCATACATTACTTTTGGCATCCTTTCATTTTGCCCCACCTGCCCTCAGAAGAAACCCTTGAATGAACTTGAGAAACCCTAAACATGTAAGAACAGGCAGCTGTTGGACCAATTTGCCATCTTCACATACATTTCTGCAGCTATTTTTTTGAGTTCATCATCTTGTATCTGAACACCTCACAGATACTAGTGTATACATCCTTCGAAAAAAGATCATCTCCAATTTACAGATGTAGAAGAGGCCCAGAAGGAGTAAGTAAAAGGTCACAGTCCAGACGAGGTTCACCCTTTCTCTTTGGAGTACGAGGACATTACCAACATAAGGAAGAGTTTTAAGCTTTTTCATCTGGCAAAAAATGTTATTTTTTTCTCTATGAAACAGAAAACTACTTTCCTGCAGAGCTGTATTTACAAAAGCAACTTCTTTTACACCATCTTTTATTGTCCAGAGTTTAAAAGCTTGTGGACTTTCTGCGACTATAAAAGTTTTCCTAGCTGACAAACATCCCAAAGTGGACTTTGGTCTGTGGCAGGAAGTATGAACCTACCATATGAAACTTGTTTGTACAAACAGAGCTGTACAGAGCTGTACCTGGGGGGTGGAGAATCAGGGAGACCGCCCTGGGCCCCGTGCTGCGGGGAGGCCCCACAGAACTTGGCAGAATGGCTGCAGTAACTCCGCACTGCCACTGGCTTCACACCTGGCTGCTTGGCACCCCCTCCCTACCGCTGCCGAATCTGCCACTGGCTTTCTTGCATGCGGGGGTGAGGCACCACACAGGCTGATTTGCCCTGGGCCCTGCACCATGCTCAGATCATCTTTGTGTACAACACAACTAGGGCCATGGGTGACTGGTGCTTCCTCAATTTGGGAGGGAAGAGGCACCCACAGAAGCCGCTGATGGGGCACCAGCCCTACCAACAGCATCAGTGTTGGCTGTCGGGGGAGCACTGGCCCCTTCGGGGGGCACGGGCACCCCTGTGCACCCCCTAACAGTCACCCATGACTAGGGCTAAACTACATTAACCATGGTGCTGAATTTAGGGGTGATTAACAGTCCCTAGCACCTAAACATGCCTTTTCTCTATAGCAAGGAGGGCTGAAGTAAAGCAATTCAGTATGCACACTCAGCAAGAGATTCCATGCCTCAGGTTCAATGCAGTGGCTTTTCCTCCATGTGCATCTGGGAGTGACATGGGCCAACCACTAGGCCAGTGCAAATAGGGAAGCATTCAGTTTAGATTTGGCCAATTTGGAGGACAGTGATTTGATTTCGAGATTTGGATCACTGTTCTGAATCGATTCAGCTGAATCGGCTTTGGAAGATTCGGCGCTGATTCAGAGAGATTTGGTGATGCGGATCAGCTAAGAAGAGGCAGGAAAAGCTGGGGTGAGCGCCAGGACAAGCCCCCATTGCTGCCCTGCCTAGCCCAATGCTAGTCCCAGCACTTAAAAAAAAAAAATAAAGCCCCACACTTCCCGGCTGCAGCAGTGGCAAATGGAGCCTCTGGGTGCTTGTGGAAGAACCCTCCTGTACAATGCAGGGCAGTGGGGGGCAGTGGGGATTATCCCCCCGCCTGGCACCCACATGGCAGCTGCCCCATGGCGCGTGTGCCGTGTGGCTTGGCAGGGCACTGCGTGCTGCCTGGGAGCTGGGGCCACTGGGGCTGAGCAATGATGGAGCTGCCCCAGCTCCCAGAGAGTGCACGATGCTCTGCCAAGTTGTGCTGCACCCGTGCCATAGGGCAGCTGCTGTGTGGGTGCCAAGCAGAGAGGGCAATCCCTGCTGCCCCATGCTGCTTGGGGTGGCTCTACCATGAAACTCAGAGGCCCTGATCTTTGCTGCCAGAGCCAGTGAGTGCAGGGCTTTTTTTTTTTTTTTTAAGTGCTGGGAGCCTGGGTTAGGCAGGAGATAGGGCCGGGGCAGGGCATCCATGGGTACTTCTCCCATGGCTCCTCCAACTGTGCCTGCCTCTGCCCCAGCAAAGGGAGCCATGAGGGCTATGCCGTGCTGCTGCTTGCCCAGATGGCATGGGGGGGAGGGAGAGGCCTGTGATGAAGGCCAGCTTGCTCCAGGTGGCAGCAGGGCATAACCCCCACTCCCAGCGCTGCCACGCTTGCATCAGTGCTGGGAGCAGGAGTTCTGCCCTGCCACTTGCCAGCCGGCACAGGAGCGGAGCCATGCGATGCAGGCACAGCAGGACTGTAAGTGAGAGCTATGTCCTGCTGCTTCTTGCCCCCTTCCACCTGGAGCAAGCCATGACTACACCCGCCCCCTTGCCCCCATCCCTGCATAACACACCCCCACACCCACCCCAGCTGGGCTGCTTGTCCCAGTCCCAATCCCTCCCTCCTCCACGGCCCTTCCCTCCCCACTCCCCCAACTCCAACAAATTTGCCAGCTGGAGGCAGTTGTGTCAGCTGCCTGTTTAATCTGTGGCCAAATCTCTGAAGTGGCTGAATCTTTTCTGAAGCTTTTCTGAATCAATTCAGATGCTTTGAATTGATTTGCAGCTTTTAATTGGTCTACCAATTCGATACAGATTCAGAGAATTGGTCCCTGAATTGAGCCGAAGCTCCTCCGAATTGAATCAGTGACCACAGCTTCGCACAGCCTTACCAACCACTCGAGCTGCTTGCTGTGTTTCTGGAATAATTTATACCATTTCTCTTTAAGCAGGGTTCGTTCCCTGGACAGTCAGTAAAAGGGACAGCCTCTTTTCCCAGGCAAGTAGCAACAAGCAAGGCATAGACAGGAATTTGGTGGTCCTTCTCTTTACAGAGGGACAAAAGTAAAATTTAGGAGCCCTTTTTATTCCCAACAAGTGGTAGGAGTGGCCTAGGAACAGCAATAATTCTCATCTCCCCCAAAAGCTGTAGGAAAGACAGATGATTGGTGATCTTATACATAGCAGGGAACCTATCTCCTTGGGTGACTGAGCTGAACTCTATACCTGTGCAGGGGCTCCAGAGAACAGCAGGGTTGGAGTTGTCTTCTTTGACATATGTGGACACTTCTTACCAAAGTAGCTGCTGCCTGAGTCAACCACTGCATTAGCTCCAGCGTGGTCATGTCTTCAATCATATCTTCATAACCAAAACTTATCCAACTGAGAATAAAGGATGGGGTTTGTGTTTCAAAAGCGTAGCCTTCATCCTGGTGGAGACACGTCCTCAGAAAGCTTGAAACATACTTTGTTTTAAAGAAATGAAGCATAGACTGATGTAACCTGACCCAACTGCTACTCTGATGTAATCTACCCTGCTACACTAGAAAATCCATCGCCTCATGTAAGAAAAGGAAATGAACAGCACACCATTTTCTGATATTTTTAATTGTCAAAATTGTTGTTACAAAGCTGTTGCAGTGAAAAATGGCCATGTCAAGATCTGATGTTGCTGTAGGACGCTCATACTTCACACACTGAAACTGCTTTGGAAAAATGTTGTTCTTGTAACAGAAATACACTTGGTTAAAAGAAAGATTGCCCCAGGCTCCAATCCAATTTAGCTGAAGTTAATGGAAATACTTCCATTGACTTCTGTGGGCTCAGATCAAGTCTCCAACATCTCTAGGATAAATCAACATATACATGCATTTTTCTGGTGCCCTGTCACAGGATTTACATTCTCTCAACACAATTTGTGTGAGATCCTTTTTGTTCTTTTTTTTTTACAAAACAAGTAAAAATGCATCAGTGACTATACCAAATCCTATGCACTGTGGAGTTCACCTTGGCTCATCATCTCTAGAGAGACTGGGAGTATTATGGAGGTGATGGCACATGGCCTGAAGGGGAGGAATTATTGGGCCTCTTAGTACCACTGGACTGCTTCTTCTATGGCAGTATAGCTTCCAGTGCTGCTGGCTGCCTGCCTTTACTGTTCTGCATCTGGCGGTATCTGCATGCCAGATACATATTTCTTATGTGATCAGGAATTCAGATCAGCTAGAAATAATGTTGACCTCAAAACATGAAATGACAAAATAATTCACCAAAGCAGCCAAACAGCTGGAAATCTCTAAGAAAGTTAATGTTTTAATCAAATTCGTGGTGTCATTTGCAGCAAGATGATAATTTTGTAAAATTTTCCTTGGATTCTATTTGATTCATTTTTATTATTATTCAGTTATTCTGAAGCAGCACCTCCCTCCTTTTTTACGGATGCATATACAATGCAGAGGCAAAATGTATATTGCAGAGGCAAACTGTATTACACTCTTCTTTACTGCCGCCTCCTCTTCTTTACTGTGCCCCAACAGGTGGTTGGGTACCTGTAGGGGCACATTTCTCACAAGAAAACCACTCTCTCTCCAGTCTCTCAGTCCTGATCCTCAAAGGAAACTTACAAAACACTTCCCAGAGAAAAGCCTATGAACTCCACTTCATCAACCTGCTGGATACTAAAAATCATGAACTAAATATAGACATTGGATTTAGGACACATTATAACCTGCCTGACATCTGACTCCCCAGGTATCTCTCCACTATTCATCCCCCTTCTGTCTCTTCCCTCCCGACCCCGCTTCCAGCCTGTCTCTCACCCATTGACTCCTCAATCTACATTTTCACTGACTACCTGTCTTGTATGCATGCCAGCCCAGCCTCTGGCTTCTTTACTTTTCATTCCGTCCAGGAAGAGCACATAGCAACTGCTGAAACTTCCTTAGCCTGACAAAGGGTTTTTGAACCCAAAAGCTTGCTTAATAATTGTTTTCCAACTATTTAAGTTGGTCTAATAAAAGATATCAGATTCACCCAAAGAACCTTGTCTGCCTACATCCTTAGACCAACATGGCTACAACCTACACCCCTGTAACAGCTATCAGAGTTACTTCACTAGTTAGAGGTCTGTCTTATGGTGCTGATGGTTTTGGTCTCCATCCCTACTGTGGGAGATGGGTGACATTACAACAATATAGCTTTATGCAGTGCATTATCACATGAAATTTTAAATGGCACAAAGATCAAAATCTAATCCACAAGACCTTCACCCTCCCAGAAGAAGCCAAGTTGAAAGGAGTTTTTGTTGAGTGAACAACACTAAGATGGATTGCAATGAGTTCCCAAAAGTTAAAACATGTGCCAATAACCCCCACTTTTAAGCACAGTTTTGATCGGCACTCCTCCCTCATAAGCTTCTCCAATGTTTTTAAAAGGTATAATTAGTGTTCTTCTCAGTGTCTTGCCATATAAATTTCCAATGCTGGTAGAATGGCTTTATCAATGGACATATGTCTACCACGGTCAAGTGAAGGAATAAAATTCAACAGGAGCTGCTTTCCTGTGTTGTACATAGTTCATCCAGTGTCCCTGAGATACAAGTGTGGCATAGATTCTTCTCATGTTTTGGCCAATAGCTCTGATTAAGTGTTCCAGATCATTTTAAAAAAATCTGCAAGTAAAAGAGTCTATTTACAAATCCTTTGCAAAATCGGCAGAACCATTTTATAGAAAAACTTACACTTTATCAAAAGTTGGTAAATATGTTTTTAACCGCAAAATATCAGATACAGGTTGTTTTCTGTCTTGATGGAAGCTGAGGCCAGTAAGAAGTTCCACATCTCTGATCTGAGCTGTATGAAACTTCATTCTCTCTTCGGCCCACAAAGATGCAGATTTACCATTCTGTTGGGGAAGGAAAACAAAGAAAAAAATTAGACATTTTCTGACCAGTGATTCTGTTGTTCCAGGATAAAACCACATTATATGGTAACAGAAGGCTGTATGGTAGAGGCATATAGCAGTGATCTGTGACAGCCTCATCAGCAATTTGAAAAAACAGAGGATATTAAGCATCATTATGGCCATAATCGTCCAGGAAATATGCATAAAGCAAGGGTTTTGGGGCGATGGCCTGAAATCTTTTATTGAACCAACTGTATCTCTACCAATCATACAGTTAGTCTAATAACAAAATCACCCAAAAAATTCTTGCTGAACTATTTACCAGTTTAGCTAAATGTATCACCTGGTATTGCTTTCCTTGGATACATGAGGATGATTTTAATGGAAGACTGGGATGAGCACAGGAGCAAGTCCATTATTTATCAGCTGTGTCTCTGTAACACATGCTACATGCTACACTTAAGATGTGATTAACTGGTTGTAATCCATTAAGTTGTAACCTAGTCACACATTAAAAGTAATTAATGGTGTCATAAAAGAAGGAATAAGCCACAAAGTTTTTATTTCACAAAAAATGTGTGATGACTTTGAGGCTGGTTCCTATCATGCCATTAATTGAATGTGTGGCCAGATGTGCCCTCCTGGCTAGGAATCCCCATTAGATGGGGTTCTCAGCTGATGGGGCTCGCAGCCACAGATGCACACCATGCACATGCAAGCACCCAGCTGCAGGAGTCCATAGTGCACCCCAGAAGCTGTGAGCCCGTCAGCTGCAGGCTCCCAGCCCCAGAATTTGCTACTTTTTAGTGCAGGGGGAGCACTAACAATAAGGTATGATGGGATCTGATGTTTGATCCTACCATCACATCTCCTACCATGCACATTCATACATTGCACATCAGATCCTATCGCGCATTTACCTGCACATCTGGCAGGAGCAAGTGGTAACACCACAAAAAGATACATTTGAGTAACTCTTTGTTATGAAAGGAAGGAGATCTACATATTGCATGCTTTGTCCTGGGGTGTTGACTATAAACAGGCAGAAAAATTGGGCAGTAATAAGTGTTCCTTGTTATGTGTTGTGTCTATGCATTCCATTCATAGGTAGTCACATGTCCCAGCACCAAAGTGTGCCCTCTTGAATTGGCCAATTGGCCAGATAGGAATGAATTCAAATGTTTTGTTTCTAAAGTGATGATACAACTACTGCCATGTACTTCACGAATACCCTTGTGGAAGATGAAAGTACAAAAAATAGGATTCTGTATTGGTATTGAGCCCACCATGAACCTATGCTATTTTTTGTGAGCAGGATGAATCAAGATGTGCAAACAGACATCATGCAGGCTGGAACTTCAAATGAATCAGTGCGTGTGAAAAGGGAATTATGGCTGCTATACCACCATTCTCAATTTTTGCTTCCAAATGAATATTTTGAGCTACTCGTCGTGTACGCTGGGCTAAACAGAAATTACTCACTGCACAGCTTTCACTGTTGTCTTCTCTATGAGGTATGATGAAGGATAAGGCATCTAGAGCCCCCTCACACTCCAGAGGTGTCTGTGAAATATTTTTACAACTTGTCAGCACAATGTAGTAGTGAGTTGGAATCAGAACTTCTGAATTTCCTGGTTGCCTGAAATGCAATCAGGTGGTTGTTTTACACATAAATTATAGTTGTGCAAAGGATAAAAGACACCAGCAAATGGTATGCTTTAGCAAGCATATTCTTCTAGCTTATCCAACCACTTAGCACAGAGAAACCTCGAGAAGCGTATTTTGATGGACATTCAAGACCGCTATCTTAAAAGCAAAGCATGACTTACTGGATAACAAGAAGTGGAAAAGCCTAGATTTATTACAAAAATATGGAAAGATTTTTGGTAGAGTTCAGATGGACTTCATGGGCCCCATTGTCAATCTGATAGCTTGAACCATTTCTGTCAAGAAGGCAGCATACTTTAACAGAAAAGCCTAGTAGTAAAGCATTATTAGTTATTCTGAATGAAGAAACAATCAAGATACCAAGAATGCTATGCGGTTTCTACTGCTCTGCCTTCTCCAGTTCTGGAGGTAACATCATGAACTCCTGTTCATCCAGCTACAACAGCTCTCCTTTGTACTTCACTTTCAGGTAGAATGACTCCATATACGTAGGTTTATTTTTTAAATTTTATTTTCTGTTTTCTTTACACATTAGCTTTACAGTCATTTATGTGTTTGGAGCCATCTGACTACCTACCAATCTGCTTGATGTATTCTGCCAGGAGCCCACCTTTGGAATATTTTTCTTTAGTAAGCACTACATAGTTACTTTGAAATCATCAGAAGCACAGTATCATACACAAGTATGGCTGGAAAGCACTTCATTAGGTCATCTAGTCCATGAATGGCGCATGCCCCTGGCAGCTGGGGGTGCATGGCTGCACTGGCAGCAGCAGGAGCATGGTGGCAGTGGTTAGAGCATGGTGGCAGCAGCAGGAGCTCAGTGGCACTGAACTGGGAGCTCCCACATACGCTGCTGACACTGTCAGTGGGGGATGGGGCAAACACCTACCAGGAGCCAGTGACCATGTGCAGGCACCTCCAGCAGAGTCAACAGTGGCCAGCAGTGATCGTGGACTGCCTGCAGATGCTGCCGCTGGTGCTGGCGTTGAGGTGGCAAGCAGCAACTGCCTGTTGCAGGGGGTGCATCACCACACTCAGGGGTTGTACGTGCACCCATGTACACCCCCTACGCATCACCTTTGATCTGATCCAGTCCCCTGCTCAGGGTAGGATCATGCTTAACTAAACTATCCCGAACAAGTGTCCCTAACCTGCTCTTGAAAATTTCTAGAGATAGAGATTCCACAACCTCCCTAGCTTGTTTCAATGCTTGACCACCTTCATAGTCAGAACATTCTTCATAATCTCCAACCTAATTTCCTCTGCTGAAGCTCAAGGTCATTACTCCTAGTCCTGTCTCCTAAAATCACAGAGAAAAGGTCATCTCCATCCTCTTTATGAACTCCCTTCACACATTTGAAGACCATTGTCTTTAGTCATCATTTCCCCAGGCTGAATAACCTTGGTTCTTTTAGCCTTTCCTCATAGCTCATGCTTCTAAGGCCTCTAATCATTTTTGTCACTCTCTGCTGGGACTCTTTTCAATATATTCACTTTCCTGAAATCAAGGGCCCAAAACTGGACACAGTACAGTAGGTGGCAAATACAGAGGAAAAATCACTTCCCTTTGATTAACACTCTTGTTGATATAACTCAGTATGATGTTGGCATTTTTTTTCCAACAAAAGCACACTGTTGGCTCATATTCAGCTAATAGTCACCTATAAATTCCAGGTTCTTCTCTGCAATACCACAGCCTAGCCAGTCATTCCCCAGTCTGTATTTGTCCATGCAAGCATTCCATCCCAAGTGCAGGACTTTGCACTCATCCTTGTTGAATTTCATCTGATTGATTTTGGACCATTTTTCTAGTCTCTCCAGGTCTGTCTGCATCTTATCCCTACCCTACAGACAGTATCTGCAACTCTACCTAACTTGGTGTCATATGAAAATTTACTAAGCCTGTGCTCAATACCATCATCCAAATCATGAAATGAAGATGTTAAATAACACCAAACCAGACCCATGACAGACTCCTGGGGAACCCCATTTGATACCTCCTCCCAGCTAGACATTGAGCCATTGATAAACTCTGGTTGAGCATGATGATCCAACTAGTTATGTATCCACCTTACACTACTTTTACCTAGACTGGATTTCCTTAGCTTGCTAATGAAAGTGTTGTGGGAAATAATGTCAACAGTTTCACTAAAGTCACGTTATATTACATCCATTGCTCTTCCCTTATCCACAGAGCCTGTCACTCTACCATAGAAGGAAATCAGGTTGGTCAGGCATGACTTGTTCTTGGTGAATCTATGCTAGGTTTTCCTGATCAACTTGTTCTCCTCTAGGTGCTTCACAATAGAGTCTTTGAGGACTTGCTTTATGACCTTTCCAGGTATCAAGATTGGGCTGACTACTCTGTAATTCCCTGGATCCTCCTTCTTTTCCTTCTTAGAGATGATCACTATGGTTGACCCTTTACAACTATCCAGGACCTCATCCAACCTCCATATGTTCTCAAAGAGGATAGCCAATGGTTCTCAAATGACCTCAGCTAATTTCTTCAGTACTCTAGGATGAACCCCATCTGGCCATGCCAACCTGAAATATCTAGCTTCTCTAGGTAATTTTTTACCTATTCAGCTATTACTTTAGGCTGTTTGTCTCTTTCCCCATCTTTTCTGCCCAGTGCTTGTCATCTGGCACCTGAACTTATCTGTGATAAATACTTCAGGCTTCTCTGCATCCTCTGTAACAAGCCTGCATTCTTTATTCTATAAGGGACCTATGGCTTCTTTGGTCTTCTGTCATTTTTAAAATACCTCTAGAATCCTTATAATTGACTTTTATGTTCCTTCCCAGTTGCATTTCAGATCATACCTTGGCCTCTCTAATTTCCTCCCTGCACAGTAATACCTTCATAATTAGAAAAGGAAAGGGAAGATGCATTATTAAAAGAGAAAAGTCTCACCTTTTCACTTTTTCTGGGACATCATAGATCCCATTGTAATCATAATCAAACACAGGGCCACTGATTACATTGACACCATTTCTTGCCACAACATATTTTGGTAGCAGGACTTCATAGAAATAATTCCACAACACTGCAATACAATATGGAAGAAGACAATGTTACCCAAGGAAAATTTATTAAAATAATTGCATTTTGTATTTAACAGAAAAGAGACAAGTATGATGAGTTAGAGCAGGGAGAGGACTATTTATTGTTATACAAGTTTCCTTGTGCCTTTGAAATATTGCTATTGGAGCTGAAAATGGTGTATCTGATATTCCTTATAATGAGGAATATAACTGTAAGAGGCTGAGGAGGATCTGCTTACAAGAGTTGGGACACAGTTTTATACGCAGTCCTATTTTTCAGACACGTAGTCAGTAGGCATGTCTACACATGAATTTACACGTGTCTAAACATAATGCACCTTAGCCTAAGGTGCAGTAAGGCAATTTAGGTGTGCATCTACATGTGCATGCCTTAAGGCCCCTTAATGCATTTGCAGCCTGCTCTGGGCAGCACCATGGACAGCCTCCCCTCTCCCGTCCCCCTCTCCCGCCCCCCCCC